ACATACAAATAGAAACTATGCATAATGAAACACAAAGAGAAAAAAGACTGAAAATAATTGTACAGAGCAATAGGGGCCTGTGGGGCAACTCCAGGCAGCAAAGATATGCAACTTGACCCCCAGAATAGGAGGTGCCAAAAAAAACAAAAACAAAAACAAAAAAAAAGGCCAAAAAACCCCTCCCAATTTGAGGAAAACTAAATCCATCCAATCAAGACACAAAACGATTTCCAAGCACAAGGAAGATGGAAAAAAAAAAACACATGAAATCACATAAAAATAAAATTGCTTAAAATCTGTGATAAAAAGAAAGACTTTCTAAAGCCGTTGGAGTGAAAAATAGAGAACTTCTATAAAAGGAACAAAGATAAGAGGTGGATTTCTGGTCAGGAACGATGCAAGTGAGAAGACAGTGAAGTGGAGTAGCACCTTTCCAGAAAGAAGGAAACTGTTAGGGCACCTGGCTGACTCAGTCAGTAGAGTATGCGACTCGATCTGGGGGCTCGTGAGTTCAAGTCCCATGTTGGGCAGAGAAACAGAGAGGGAAAGAAACTGGACTAATTGCTAAGACAACTTTTTAAGGACTCTATTAATGGACCAAAGTTGTATAACAAAACTTGAGAAGCATCTATTTGAGAAATTCTACTGAAGTTTGGTGAGAACAGGAGAAATCTGTGGTGTTTCAGCCAGGGGCTATTCACACTGATGTGGAGAATAAAGGCAAAAGAAAAAAAGTAAAAACTTCTTTATAACTTACAACCCAGTGACAAGTACTAGAGACAGGCAGAGTAACCTTCCCCAAGGAGCTTAGCTGCCTCGATGTTAATACTTTGTTAAAGGCAAAAGGCAACCTTAGCTTGACATTAGCCAGACCTCTAGGATCCTGTAAAAAATCCCTTTGGAAACTTCCTTTATGTCTACCTTCCTCCAAGATATATATTTAACAATCATCCTCCAAACATATGGTCCACTGATATATACCTAAAGGGTCTCATGACTAAGGTTTTACTAGACAGTAGTAAATGACCTTATCCTAACAACAGCTAGCCCCTCAAGGTCCTGGAATTCTTGCTTCCAAATTCCTCAAAGACTTACTTTTATCCCTACCTCCCTCCCAACTCGAAAGTATATAATCAGCCACTCCTCACAACCTCAAGGCAGCTCTTTCTGCCGCAGGTCCTGTCCCCGTGCTTTAATAAAACCACCTTTTTGCACTGAAGATGTCTCAAGAATTCTTTCTTGACCACTGACTTCCAAACCCCAACATTCCACATCAACATGACCTCCCCTCTAGTTCCGTGGTGCAGAGAAATCTTATGAGGCAAAGCATAGAAAATTCTACAGCTAGGTAAGTTAAAAAACAATAGCAATCAAAGTGGAAAACATTCAAGGAATGCCAACATACCAACCAGCCAGAATGTAACAGGAAAGTCAGGGGCCTGAGACAACATATATCAATGATTATACAGCAAAGAAGCTGTGTTTTAAGGCATCTTCCTGGTGCCATGTGCACCAGGATACAGGTATAAGAAGGCTCATGACAGGACTGTCTGCAATAGCAAAAAACCATAACCTCAAAAACCATCAACAGTCAAAGAATAAACAGCACATTTTCATATAAAAGAATCCTATGGAGCCATGAAAGTAAATGAACCATATGGCTACCCATAATAATCTGGGGGAGTCTCAGGAATAGAATAGTGAGAAAAACAAACAAACAAGTCCCAGAAGAATACACAGTGTGTGATTATATATGTTACACTCAAAAACAAGACTTTGTTTAGGGATATAGGCATATGTGGTAAAACCCTAAGCAGGCTCCTGAGGATTAGGAGCTGGGCACCCTGAGGGTGGGGAAGAGGAGGACACATGAAGGACATAAATGAACAGGAAGCTGCTATGATGCAGAAGTAAAGAAAGTACTATTCTTGTCTATATGTAGTTCGAAATGCCAACCCTGGACTGAGAATCAGAAGACCTGGTCCAGATTTTAGAAAAACACTGTGAGGGGCGCCTGGGTGGCTCAGGGTTAAGCGTCTAACTCTTGGGTTCAGCTCAGCTCTGTGCTGACAGCACAGAGAATGCTTTTGATTCTCTCTCCCTCTCTCTGACCCTCCCCTGCTCGATCTCTCTCTCAAAATAAATAAAATAAAAACTTTTTAAAAAAGGAAAGAAAAGAAAAAAAAAAAAAGACCTAGTCCACCCTCCAGAGCTACCTGAACTTGCAGTTGTAACCTCAGTCAAGTTTTCACTTATGGGATTCAGGACAAGAAGCTCAATTAAGACAATGCATGCTGAAGAGCTTTTTAAATTTATTTTTATTTATTTATGGTTTAATTTATATCCAAGTTAGTTAGCATATGGTGCAACAATGATTTCAGGAGTAGATTCCTTAATGCCCCTTACCCGTTTAGACCATCCCCCCTCCCACATGAAGAGCTTTTTAAATGCCTTTGGGGAATGGGAACAGATAAATTTCAAGCTCATGATAGTCTCAAGAAGAGAGAGACTCACCAAGACCCTAATGACACCGAAGCTTCAGAACCCCTCACCTGCCCAAGCCCCCTTCCAAGGCCTGAGAAGAGCCCTACATGTTTTGTGTTCTCTTTCCTTAAGAGAGCCCTAAGTGGTACAAACTCGAAGCCCCACTTGACCTGAGCTCCAAAGTGGCAAAAAGCTTAACAGATAGCTAGAGGAGATTCCTGTTTAAATTCTCTGCTCCTATTTAATTTTTCTGCCTCAGAAAATCACCTAATTCAAACTACATTTCCCTCTGAAACTAAGAGTGCACTCTCAAAAGAGTGTGACTAATAGGGCTCCAGAAATCCCTGGCTGTGCCCTTTATGTGGAAACCTCAGGATACACTGAATCTTGCAGGAAAACTCAATACAATTTAAAATTATTTTTCTAACGAGGCCCTTTGCTAAGAAGGTGCAAACTAATTTTGGCAAACATCCTTGATAAATATTATAACTGGCTCAACTATGACAGAGCACAACCACCTCTGTGTTGCCTCTACAACTTGCTTCTGAAACACTATGCAATCTTGCCCCAAGGTTAGTGGCACTGTGACGCACCCGCTGCCCTCAACAAGGGTTCCTAACACCGGTCTTCTGCACCAAGATCTAGATAGGCAGAAGTGCAAGCAGGGGCTGTAGTACAGGCATGACAGCAAATGCTATTACTTACTCCCCCCAGCATTTTGTGGAACACCAAAACTCCTTGTGCTTTGTCTCCGTGAATGGAGAAGCAGAAGCTGAGCCAGTAATCTGAGAACAGAGAGAGGAATTTGCCACTGGACAAAATATTTTCAAGGAGAAAAAATTATCCAGAAAGGGGATTTGCATAGTAGAGGTTGAGAAATTTGTGGAGTAAGTCACAACTCTTCCTCTACAAAATGACTGTATCAACCAGAGAAAGAATAGGACTAAGAAAATGTTATTTTGGGGAAACCAAAAAGGAGCATGGAATGAATCCCCATGAAATCCATGCAAAACCAACAAGGTTCTTGAGAATCTTGGGTCAGCAGAAAATACTGCCAGCTTGGACTGAAAGGGACAGAGAGAGTATAAATCAAAAGAGATTACTGGATTCTCAAAATTCTACTGGCAAGAAGCAAGCTGATAAAACTCAGCTACAAAGTGCCACCTTTACGAAAAAGGAAGGATGACCAAGGTGTAGCCACAAGCCCAGAGGGGAACACTAAGGGTTTAGTTGAAACCAAGAGCCCAGGTGGCAGAGATCAGAGCTATGGAGGACTATTCTCAGGCCTTGAAACCTAATCCAGACTCTGGAGTTTGCCCAGCTGCATTTCAAAGCTACCTTGGGCTGATGACTCCTTTTTATTTTCTATTTCCCCCATTTTTGAAGCTGAATATCTGTAACTGTTATCCTATACCAGTGCCACCTTGGGTGTTGGGAAGGCAGAGGCAGATAACTGGTCTCTTTAGTTCGAGAGGGCCACAGCTGGAGAGGACTTGTGTTCAGCTGTACTTACTGGATTACATGCCAGAGCTTATCTACACCTGATTTACATGATCTTGATGAGGAGATTTTGGATTTGTGAGCTGGTGAGATTTAGGACTTTGAACTATTACCATAATGAAATGAGGCCCTTGGGAAGGGGTGATTGTATTTTGCACGTGGGAGGGATGAATGGGGGGCCAGAGGGTAGACTGTGGCTCCCGTGACCTTCATCTCCTGATGTTATTCCTGTGTTCATGTAACATTATATGGCAAAAGAGAAATTATCTGAGTGGGCTTCTAATCACAACAAGCTCTTTAAAAGCAGTTTTCTCTGGCTGGTATAGAAAGGGAATTTATACAGAACAGAAGCATAAGAGAGATTCAACAACACAAGGGAGGTTCTCATTGCTGAGATGGGGGAGGGCTGTCACAGGGTGGAGACCTCTGCAAGAAGGAGCTAAGCATGGTCCTGGCTGTCAGCTGGCAAAAAGACAGGGACCTTAGTCCTACAGTCTGAAGGAACTGAATTCCACTGATAATCTAGATGAGCGTGGGAGCACATTCTTCCCCAGAGTCTCCAGACAAGAGTCTAGTCTAGCTGATGCCTTAACTTCGGCCTTATGAGACCCTCAACTCAACATGAATCCTTCTGACCTACTGAACTGTGAGATCATAAACATGTATTGTTTTGAGCTACTAAATTTGTGGTGATTTGTTATACAGCAATAGAAAATGAATCCAGACTTTGGTCCACAGATTCCATTTCTGAACATGCTACTGCTCTAGCCCATTCTGAGAACAATCCTCAGGAGGCAACAAGAGGACCAGATTGTGGTTCTGGGCCCATCCCTTCGGAGCACAAGTTTCCTATCTACAAAATGGGTGGATAAAAGGAGAAAGGTTGTAGGAAAATACTTCTATGCCAACAAATCTTTTCAAATATCTGATGTATTATTTCTCACAACACCCATGCCAATACCTGCAGAAGAGGAACCCAGACACAGTCAGGAAGAGAACAGTAACGGCTGGCTCACCTTCCTCAGGCCAGGAGTGTAGGTTGCTGGAATAAAGATATGCTCCTTCTCCTCCTGTTAGAAAAGTGCCCAGGAAACAGGCATCCCCCTTTAAAAACAAGCAATCACAAAAAGTAAATGATTTATAGCATAAACATTCACAGAATCAAAAGTTTTGCCCATTTGTCTATCTACAAAGCTGCTTAGTAGCCTCAGATATACCCAATTTCTTCCACACCTCTGGCACTGCCTGGCTCTTTGTCATGTTACTGGCATTCTTGACCTGTGCCGAAGAAAAGAATGTGAGGTTCTCTCTGAGTCCAGGCACCAATGCCTGCTATGCTTGTTCATGCTCCAGTGGATTTCTAGCCACTAGAAGCAGTTCTCCTTGGCCCAAAGCCTTGACCTCTCAGTTCTATATGTCTAGGTCAACCTGAGATCTGCTTGTAATAGTACAGGGAGATTTAAAAAAACACACCAGAGGCACCTGGATAGGTTGGTCAACTGGGCGTCCAACTCTTGATTTTGGCTCAGGTCATGATCTTGTGGTTCGTGAGATAGGGCCACGCTGGGCACTGCACTGACAGTGCAGAACCTACTTGGATTCTCTCTCTCCCTCTGCTCCTCCCCTCACTCACACTTCCTCTCTCTCTCAAAATAAATAAATAAACATTAAAAAAAAAACCTACAACACACCAAAAGGCCTAAATGGCGGAACAAATCCCCTCCAACTGTGCATCCCATTAAATGGTTATTTAAAAAAATTTTTTTAAGGTTTATTTTTATTTATTTTTGAGAGAGACAGACAGAGCATGAGTGGGGGAGGGGCAAAGAGAGAGGGAGTCACAGAATCTGAAGCAGATTCCAGGCTTTGAGCTGTCTGCACAGAGTCGGACAAGGGGCTTGAACCCATGGACCACGAGATCATGACCTGAGCTGAAGTCAGATGCTCAACTGACTGAGCCACCCAGGCGTCAACACCCCCCCACTTTTTTTTTTTTAAATTTTTAATGTTTTTTTATTTTTGAGAGATACACAGTGAGAGCAGGGGAGGGGCAGTGACAGAGAGAAACGGTTATTTCTAGAGCTTTGCCAGGAGGGGAAGAATGCAAGCAGGAATTGAGACAGAGAGGAACATATCCTTCAGATCAGCTCTACAATGAAATATTCCAAATTATCTTCATAAATTGTTTACATTTCATTTTGATACAATGTTAACATTAAGAATAAAAAGGCTGCTTACCTTAACTGCTTGCTGGGTTTTCTCAGACAATTTTACTTCATTATCTTCTACCTGTATCCAAAAGGAGTGCAAATTTTCAGTTTCCTACTTCAAGGGTAAAATTCTGCTAGGTTTCCCCCATGTTCAAATATTTCCGGGAGACAGGGCAGCCCCTCGACCAAATCCCATGCTCTCAGGCCCTGATGGCTGGCAGAGTTGGCTGGCTGCCAGTCATCAAGTCTTAGAGCCCAAAGCCATGGTGGGTTCTCTCACTGAGACCTGAGGTCCAGCTAAATGAGCCTACAATATGTGGAAATGATGTCTTTGTCTCCAATTATATTTTAGGGAAAAACAACTATTTGTAAGGATGAAGGGAAGAGAACATATTAAAATATTTTGAGTGCATTCTCCTTTAAATGTGTTCATCTCTGAGGCTGATTCTTCCCTTTCCATGTCAGAATTGTAGGAACAATATAAACAGAGTCTAAAATAGGTACTTAGACCATTACTTCACTCATTACTGTCATACTTTCTGTGTCCCACGGCACCATAGTTTCAGACCAAGTCCCACTGGTGCAGATGGGACCCTTCCACATGTAGAGAAATCATTGCTGTAAAAACTCAGCAGCAACCATTCTGACCAGAGAAGGGAGCCATGTGATCTATTCCGCACTATCTGTGTGACTTTAGACAGGCTGGTCAATTTCTTAGCCTCAGTGTCCTCATATGGAACATGAAGGTGTTAACGTCTTTCTTTCAATAATTTAACAGGGACCGAAATCATTTAGTTCCTTTCGTTTGGCACTTTCCCAAGATTAGGAGAGAGTTAAAGAAACTAGATTTGTTTGCATAAACACAAAGAGCTCAGATAATAACTTCCATTCCTGAACAACAGCTAGTTTAGGATCTGACACCCCACCAGGGACCCAATGAAGAGGCTCTTCTTCAGATGTTCTCCCCGATTTCTCCACATTTAAGTCCACTTCCATTGGATGAATAACACTAACCAGCCAGGAGCAGAATCTGGGTATGGCGGCTGTCAGGACTATGGAGCTGGTTTCTGTGGTAACAGTGCCATCTGCAGGAAGACCACAGACATGCTAGTTACTGCTCACTACCTGGCCCACCTTGTAGGCCCAACAGCTAACACCCCCTCCCCTTCTCAGGAGCGAGGGATCCTCTTATTAGTATACAAAATCTTATGCTCTCAGAAATTTAAAACCTCCTCATCTGGGGACAGGGAGACTAAGAGGGGAGGAATAAAGTTTTCCCTGTGATATTAACTCTATTACTTTTCTTACAACAAATAGAATTACACATTTAAATGAAGAGTCCTGGGAATCAGTCCTTTTTATCTACACTTTTAATTTTTATCAAGGTAGTGCAAAGGTTAAAAAAAAGGATCCAATTATTATTTAAAATTGCTTCTTCCTAACTACCAATAAGGCTGTATATGTGAAAATAATGTTATATATTAATGTTAATAACACATTATGTATAATTAGATCACAATATACAATAATGTATAATTATTATATATGATTTATATATACATATGTACTATGAAATTATATATAACTTATTTTGCCTAAACAAACCAAAAAAACTCAAGTTTTGCTTTCTAAAGGCCTCTTATAAACACTTACCCTTTTCTTTAACCAAGATCTGAGATGTCAAAAAGGATTCTGAGAAGACCACAGACCCTAAGCACCCCCTTCCTCCCAGCAAGTCAGGAATGTCATAGACAGTCATACAAGCCTATATCAAATGAGAAAACAGAGTTAGGCCAGTTGTCAGTCTTAAACTTTCAGGGAGAGACCTTTAAGAAACAGACCACAAAATGCTGCTTTAAGGCACATTTCAAAAGAATACTCAAGAGTTTCTAAGGAAAACGAAAGTCATCCTGAACTACATCTCAGAACTGGGAGAGAACCTCAGCATTACCCAGGCATCTCTGCAACTGCCGCTGCATCAGAGACACACTTGGGCTAGAGGAGCATTTTTCTTTTAAAGTTTATTTATTTATTTTAAGAGAAAGAGTGAGCAGGAAGGGCAGAGAGAGAGGGAGACAGAGAATCCCAAGGAGGCCCTGCACTGCGAAAGCAGAGCCCAACGTGGGGCTCGAACTCACAAACTATGAGATCATGACCTGAGCTGAAATCAAAAGTTGGATGCTTAACTGAATAAGCCATCCTGGAGCTCTGGGCCAGTGAAGTATATTTATGCTTCTTCTATAAAGTCCCTCAAATTGTCTATCTTCCCTAAGAGAAACATAACAGCCTTCCTTCTTAATTGTGATGAGGCCCTGGCCTCTCAGAGTTGAGGGCGTTTCTTCCAGGGTTTTTTTTGTACCCTCGCATGCTCTTCACATCCTGGCACATCAATACGCTCACTAACTCCTTTTTTGGTTTGGGCTCAAGTTCTGGACAAGCCTAGAAAGGTAGTCAATCATTTAGTACATAAGTCTTCATGGATATTTCTGGGTATATACTGACACCTGCAAATGCTTCTTTCACTACCAAGAAAATTAAGAGAAAACTATGTAAGTTTTTATGGCAAGATAAAATAGAGCCTTCAGCAGGCTGGAAAAAAATTGGAGCAACAGAGTTCTTGAATATCTGGTAAGTAAGTCCTAATTTATATTAAAACTAATGAAAATGGAACAATTCGGGGGTGGGGGGAGGGGGAGGGAGGAATCTAGCAGAAGAAATGCAGAAAATAGTATGAGCCAGAGCCAGGGTCTAGAAAGACTGAAAATCTGGTGAGGGACATGATGAGTGGCACAAGGAGCCCTCTCAGGTACTGTCTCCTCCTGGTCTGACGTTGCTGAATGAATGCCCAGGTGCAGAGCTCCTGAAGCAGAGCCCACCTTCACACATCTTTGTCCTTGCCTGGGACCCCTGCACCACCCTCAGCACAGAGACAAAAGAGACCTGGGGCTCTTGAAGAAATTGCTAGATCCCTAAACACAAAAAAGCAGCAGAAGAGTTGAGGAAAAAAACAGAGTTAAAGCCGAAGTTGTTAATTTCTCATGTCATCATGAAAAAAGAATGTACAAAAATGACAGGTAGGCTTTTATAGTTTAGTTAACTTTTCTTTTTTAAAATAAATTTTTGTTTAAAATAATTTTATTTTTTAAAAAGAGACAGAGAGAGAAACAGAGCTAGAGAAGGGGAAGGGCAGAGAGGGAGGGAGACACAGAATCCGAAGCCAGCTCCAGGCTCTGAGCTATCAGCACAGAGCCCAACACGGGGCTTGAACTCATGGAACGTGAGATCGCGACCTGAGCTGAAGTTGGATGCTCAACCCACTGAGCCACCCAGGTGCCCCTCTTTTTTTTTTTTTTTTTTTTAAGATTTATTTTTAAGTAATCTTTACACTCAACACTGGGCTCATATCCACAACCCTGAGATCAAGAGTCACACACTTCACTAAGCCAGCCAGGCGCCCCTGTTTTAGTTAGCTTTCTGAGTAGGTCTGACAACTGGGGTTTTTTATCTTAATCTGCTCCAAAGAATTTTAAACATCTAAAGATACAAAACCTTCCTGGGCTATGTGGTCTCTCTTAAGTGGCAATGAGAATACCACTTTGGTTCCTAGATCAATCAGGAAGACAATCCTGTGGGTTATACCCAATACCTTACTTTCATATTTGGCTTCTGATATTGAGGAAAGGGAGAGAGAAAATTAAAAGGCAGAACCTCATCTCAGCCTGGAAGGGAGGACAGGATTTGGACTGAAAACAACAACTTCTCTCTTCTTTCTTATTTCATTAGCGGCTGCTGAATGCATACTTAACACAATAATATGATTCCACTGGACTCCCGACTACCTTCTATTGTGCAAAGCACCTTCCAAAGCACTGCACAACAGTCTAAGTAGAGAAGTCAGGGCTTAACGTCTGGCAAGGAGATAAAGTACTATCACTTAATATCAGAAAGCATTTCCTGGCTTCTTGATTATGTCAATTAATAAAATCTAAACAAACATCAATACGAAATGGTGACAGATACAGGGAACAGATACATTATAAAAAGAGAAATTACAACCTTAAAGTTACCCCTCTTGTACTACTTTTTTTAATTTAATTTTTTAATTTTTTAATTTTTGAAAGACAGAGACAGAGCAGAAGTGGGGGAGGGGCAGAGAGAAGGAGACACAGAATCTGAAGCAGGCTCCAGGCTCTGAGCTGTCAGCGCAGAGCCCGATGCAGGGCTTGAACCCATATATCGTGAGATCATGACCTGAGCCAAAGTCAGATGTTTAACCAACTGAGCCACCCAGGCGCCCCATGTACTACTTTCTTTAGATAACACGACTGTTTTCCACTGGTGATGGTGGTGGGCATGCATCTGCACGGAATCATCCACACCTGTGCACCAAGTTCCTGGTGACTAAAAGCTCACTGGAATTAAGGCTTGGGCAGTAGCCGTAGAACAGACTCAAGGCATAATCTGTGCCCATATCTATTTCAACCAGACTCTTGGCTGGATGGGCCACTATCCTCTCAGGCGTTGCTTGCCGATCATCTACACATCAGGATGCACTGGGATAAACGGAGGACTTGGCTTGTGACCAGGAGCAACTAATCTAGAAACTGCTCCCCTAGGCCATGCCAGTCAGCTGACCTGGGGACCTATATTTCTGCATCTGTAAACCACCCAAATGGCCCATCAGTGTGCTCCCAGCACATGGGTCCGAAAGTTCTGCTCTGACCACCCTCTTCACTGGTGGCTTAGGCCCCATTTTGTTGTTGTTGTTATCTATTTGTTTTTATTTATTTTCACAGACCCCTGTTAATAAGGGCATCAGCACAGGCTGTGGAACACAGAGAAGCCACTGAAAACTCAGCCTGTATTGAGGCAGGCTTGTCCTCTGCTCACATTTCCATATGAGGTCAGAGCAATCACAGTCACTTAGAGGAAGCCTTCCTAACCTTAGGAAGAAGTGTCTCTCCTAGCCTCCAGCTAAGACTCTGGGCCCTGGGAGCCTAGGCATGGGGGTATGATGTGGTGGGCCTGGCACAGCTGCCTGGGCACCCTCAGAAAGCACAGGCTCCCCACTCCCTCTGCAGATGAAATGCTCCTGCGAATAGACCAGTTTCCTCAGGTAAGGGACGGACTGCCCAAGAATCCCACATCCTCCTATCTCACCCCTTGCAGATGTCCCTCTAGAGGCCATTCTCTGCCAGCTGACTTAAAACAGCTCTGCTTACCGTCTTCACGAAATATAAGCTATCTTCACTGTCCAGAGGCACATTCCTAGAGGAGGAAAGAGATATATATTACATTTACAATGTTCTCTTTTCTCAACTTGGTGGCAACCCACAGACCTAGATTTCTTTCAGGGCTTTTTCAAGGCACTGGGTTGCATGTAAGTAGAATTAGTACATAGGCTGCTGGAGGGAATTAGGTCCACCTCCTACCCCCATGCCCAATGCTTCAGTGGGAAGCACTCAGGGCAGAAAGTCTCAGATGAGTGTAGCCAGCCCCAAGCCCAACCCTGGCATAATGCTGTTGCCAGGTGTGGAACTCTATGAAGACCACCCACATCAGCAGTTACAAGACAGCCTCTCTCTTCTTCTTTGTTCCTAAAACTTGCTCCAAATGAGTATGCACCACAAACATACACTTACCTTCCGTGATTATTCACAGCATGTATATGAAAAGTCATCTTGGAGCTGTAGGCCCAAAACAAAAGAAGTCAGTCTGCTCCTGGTGACCACAGTGTTGGTGCCCTCCCCAGACACCTACAGCTGCAATGCACCTGTGCTGGGCCCTCATGGCACCCTTCCCAAGTGTGGGGCCAGCGTCTGACTCGTCATAGCTCTTCCTCTGTGCAGATTCTCAGGGCTGCCTTGACTCTTGGACAGAGCACAAGAGAACCATGTGACAGAACTACAGTCTATTGCAGACTGGGAAGACCCTCTAGTGGCCCACGGCCTCCTGCCCCATAGCTATGACAGCTGTGACATATTGTCCTAATCCTGCTCTTCTTTACTACCTTTGGGTCAAGCTGCCATCTCTGCTCAGAGCCCAAGCAGAGGCCAAATCCTGTGTTCCTCTTGGGAGATGGTTTGCTAATCTGATGTAGTGTGAGGGTACTCAGTAAAGTGATCTTGTGGAGAGAAGGGAGTGGGGCTCCAGATGGAGGGCTGGCCATGGGAGACGCTTATCCTATTGCCCGGTATTCGTTCCTTGCCAATCCTTCCTCCAGCTGGGAGGTATACCCGGGGCTAAAAGGCCTTGGGGTTGAAAGGTAGCCTGTCCTGGAGAGGCTGAGTGGCCTATGCAAGGCCCTGAGGAAAGGAGAAAATGAATAAGCCAGCTGTGTTGATGGTGACACAGAAGAGCCCCATGCAACAGCAGCTAACGTTTACATGCCTAGTCTTTCAGCACAGTGGGAACATGAGGAAACAGATGTTCAGAGAGCTCCTTGTCTTTCCCAAAGTCACAGAGCTGGAAAGCAAAGGTGCTTTCTCAAACTCAGGTCTTCCAGGAACAGATAATCCAGGCCAGTGCAAGGCCTTAAGGGAACGAACTTCCTCTGTCCCCTTCCTCTCAGGGCCTGAGCTACAAGATCCAGAAGACCCATAGGAAAGGAACCTTAAGCCTTGCACCAAAGAGATCTGGCTCTTCCCTCCACTCCTGGAGTTACAGCGATAGAACTCTTGTTAGATCAATTGACTGACTTATTGTTCTCAATACTCCTTCTCACTACCCAGGGCTGTAGATGTAAGAAAATGTGGGGTACAGAGATGAGGCACCACAGGGCACGTCCCATAGAGTTCTTAAAGAAATTCCCCAATGTTGGGGTCTTCGGTCTCCTTTGCAAAAAAAGTGCACCTAGTGGTCCTCATATGGTACAGAGGGTTAGGTGGAGTGGGTTCATGAAAGTTTTGCTATGGACACAGACCACACAGAGAGCCTCTGTGATGTGCCAGGAGATGTGTGATGCTTAGAAAGCCAGCAAGCCCAATTCCTACAGCATCTAGCCCCTGAGGCAGGGCCAGGCTCAGGGTGTCAATGACCTGAGAGGGCATGGAGGCCCAGAGCCAGGCTCTTCTAAGCAGTGACTGCCTTCTTGTGCCCAGGGACCTTGACCCAACAAGCTTCACCTCTCATGTCCCCAGCTTCACCTTTCTAACTTGTGAACCTGGGTCCTTCAGGTCTCCGACACCTCTGGTATTGATCTGCCTCCCCTTCGGTCATCAGGAATGTGTCTGACTCTTTCTCATACAGTTCCTCCATCTTAGGCTCCTTGGCCTCTCAAAGCCCTGATCTTGAGTTTCTCCTTCACACATCCCCTTATTTTACTAGAATGTTTCTCAAAGAGAAGGTGGAATATCAAATACAAGGGAGAAGAGGGTCTTTATAAAATGAACATTAAAAATAATTCCTTATATAAAATAGCAGTCATTGCTTACCGTAGGCCTGCCTTAAACTGTGTCAAATCAAAGGAATCTAACCCGGATCCCAGGGTCTGCTCAGCTACCTCCTTGGCCTGTAAAACCAATCACAAAACAGAGACAATGAGCTTTCACAGCAGGAAAGAGTACACATCACTGATGGGAAGTACCCTTCTAACATTTGGCCAGGAGAACACTGTGCCCCTCCCCTCTACATGACTGCTTTGTATACATCAATAGATCAAAGTGGAAACACTGTGTTAAGGGAAACAGGTGCCTGCTTTCTCTGGGCTGGGTTCACAGGAAACACTTCATTCAGGCAGGTGGGCACTGGAACTTGATCTGCTGGGAACTGTAACCAGCTGAGATGATGCCATTGTGAGGTCTGGAAAAGTGTTTTCTCCCCCCCCTCCCCTGGCCTTGAGGGAGAGACTACTGCCCTTGGAGTTTCTGTCAGATGCTAAGAATATTCAAATACCTAGATTCACAAAAGATCAGTTAAAAAAACAAAGGTATGAGAACTGATAGTGCATAAACTTCCAGCTAAACAGTTGAGAAATCCCAAGTTGTGCCAGGGATTCAAGTTCAGTGAGGAGGGGAGATAGCAGGGAGCTGGTGACTACGGCTACAGTGTCTCTGGTATCTACATCATACACAACCTTTCCAATGTCAAATGGCTTCCTTCAGGAAAGGTCCTATTGGCATTGGGAGGCATCAAGCCGACTCTTCTCATCTCCTTACTGGGTCAGATATAGGAATCCAACTCAGCAGGGCAGGTTAACCGCAAAACAGCAAGGAAGAGAACGGTCAGAGAACAAGAACACATGTGCTTGTCTAGGAAAGGCAAGTCAGATTTTCTAATCTTTAGGGTTTTTTTTTTAACACTAAATTATAGGAAATCACACTATATAGTTCAAAACAAACTTGGGGAGCCTGGGTGGCTCAGTCAGGTAAGAGTCTGGCTCTTGATTTCATCTCAAGTCATGATCCCAGGGTTGTGGGATCGAGCCCTGCATCCGGCTCTGCACTGAGCATGGAGCCTGCTTGAGAGTCAGTCTCTCTGTCCCTCCCCCCCACTTGCATGCTCTCTCCCTAACATTAAAGAATCAAACTTACCTAACTTTATATTTTTCTTTATTTTTAACTTTTAAAAGGATTTTTTAAAAGCTATTAATTAAAACACTATGCTACAGAATGATTTTCTTTAACACAAAGATCTACAAAGATATACAAAGAAGTGCTGATTATAGTGGTCCTTCGTAGGACAAATGACACTTCGGTCACAGGCAACAGAAGCCCAGTGCTCTCCAGGCATCTGTGTCTGGTGCCAGCTCCACCGAGGCCCAAGCTCACACAAAACTGAGTAGTACCAGGTATCCAAAGCCAAAACAGATGGATAGGAAGTTTTACACTGAAATAACTACTAAAGAAAGAGAAACATGGTATTTAAATTACCTTTGTTAGACTGGAAGTTTTAGCATAACATGCAATGCCAGCCAAAACAGCCTCAATAACGGCAGCATACACCTGGGACAAGAGCCTACTTTAGAACAAAAAAATATGGGTTAACTACAGCATCATAAGGTTTCAATAAACGCTGCATGCACATAAATGACATTCCCTAAGGAACTGAATGAGAAAAGTACAAAAACGGAACTCAATGATTTCTAAACCTTTAAGCCATGTGCCCCATACCTGAGATACACTTTGCTCTTACTAAACCATGACAGAAAAGTCAACTCTTCTTAATTCTGCTCAGAAGACCAACCTTCCCTGTTTGTGATCCAACAGAAGAGAACTCTGTGGGCTCCCTAGCCCCTTCAGTGTCATGGTACAGACTTTGCTTTTCCAGGACCAAGCACACCACACCTTCATGTCATCTCCTCCCAGGCCTGCTGTGGGCTGGCTGTTACTGGAATCTCAGGGTAGGAGACCTCAGGGGCAAGAGAGATTACTAGAGAAGATAAGCTCCACTTAAATTCAAATTCCAAGCTGCAGACCACTTTTACAAGTAGCTTACCTGCTCTAGAGAATAGAGAATGTTTCTGAGGGGAAACATTCTCTTCCTATAGCCTCCCTGCTCCCTGCCCGCCAATCTTGTTCTTTCTCTTGGACTCCTCACTTCCCAAAGTGATTATAAGGTTTTTTTCCCAAAGTGATTATATGAAGGTTTCTTCCTTTGCCAGACTGGGACTGCTATGAAGGTCCCTAGAAAATCCGACACTGGTTCCTCTTAAGCAAAAATTTTCAATCTCCGTATTTTGGGCCAGATAATTCTTTGTCATGGGGTCAGTCCTGTGCACTACAGGATGTTTAGCAGCACCCCTGGTCTCTATCCATTAGATGCCAGTAGTACCCCAGTTGGGAAAACAAAAATGTCTCCAGCACTGTCAACCATCTCTGGGAGTCGGGGGTAGGACTGGGGGAAGAGGAGCAGTAAAATTGCCCTTGGTTGAGAATCATGCTTTAGGGGAGGGAGATCCAGGATCTTATCAGGATAATTACAGACAGAAGGGGTTCATTCACAAGGCCCTGAAAAGCAAAGGAGGTGCCTGCCAAGAAAGTGATAAAGCCTTGCCTCAGACTACTACAGAAAAGTCTATTTTTATGCCTGAGAATCTCTTAACAGGTAAAGGAAGGTGACAGGAATTGGAAAGCAGGAAGGAACACAGAAATGATCTGATCTAACTCCTCGGACAGAAGAAGCAAGTAGGGCCTCTGAAGGTGGAATAAGTTGTCCATGGAACAGAAAACGAATGGCAGACTTGAATTCAGGTCTGACGCCAGCCTGGTGCTTTTCTACTGTGCCATGTCATACTGCCAACTTCTTTAATTTCCTCTTTGGCTCCTGCACCACACCTCCACATTATAGGTAAAGGATTTGAGTTGGGTAGAAGAAAAAAAAAAAAAAAAAGACAGAAAAAGTATACATAACAAAATGATAGCTCCAAGAATCAGCATATCCTGAAGACTGTTGGCCAGGCCATGAGAGAGGGGTCCATCCTGGTATGAAGTAGGCCTGGCAGGGACACTGACAATGAGCTTGGCCACTTCCAGGTAAAACCACAATCCTCCACACCTAAACACCAACACCAAAGACATATATATGTCTTCCTCCTTTCCCCACCCAGCTTGATTCAGACATCATTCAGTACCAACACTGTTCAGGTCTCCCCACTCTTGGCCTTCTCCTATACAGACCCTCAGATAAGAGCTGAATGCAAAGGTACCTGGTTATGGACTCAAAATGGCCTGAATGGGAGGCCCGAGATTCATGACAAGGGAAGAGTGTGCTCCATGCCTAGATGGCACTGCTGTTGCCTTCCCTAGGACTCCACAAGGCCCAAGTTCTACCAGCTCTGTGATTCAGTAAGTCTCCTGATATGGGCCCATGCACCCCTCAATACCAGTCCCTGAAACAGGGTACCAATGTACCCTGTTTAGGAAAAACGCCAAAGATCCAGAATGAAGATCCAGCGGCTAAGCACAGTGGCATAAAAGTATCAGCAGATACAAAGCAAGACTATATATACCCATCAACGTATGAGAACGCAGTTGACTTGCTGCTAAAGTGCAGAAAATCCACACATTTAAAAACTGCACAGGGGCTCCTGGGTGGCTCGGTCTATTGGGCATCTGACTTCGGCTCAGGTCATCGTCTCAAGATTCGTGAGTTTGAGCCCCGTGTCAGGCTCTGTGCTGACAGCTCAGAGCCTGGAGCCTGTTTCAGTTTATGTGTCTCCCTCTCTCTGCCCCTCTCCTGCTCATGCTCTCTCTCTCTCTCTCTCCCCCCCGCTCTTAAAGAATAAACAAACATAAAAAAAATTTTTTTAAACTGCACACACATTGGGGTGCCTGAGTGGCTCAGTCAGTTGAGTGTCTTCTTGATTTTGGTTCAGGTCATGATCTCATGGTTTGTGAGTTTGAGCCCCGCATCGGGCTTTGTGCTCATATTGTGGAGTCTGCTTGGGATTCTCTTCCTCTCCCTCTCTTTCTGCCCCTCCCCCTGCTCTTACTGTCTCTTAAAAACAAAACAAAAAATAAAATAAAAAATAAAAAACTTCACACACATTAATTACCACTATATAAAACCTAAATGTAGAATTTTTAAAAACCCAGAAAGATACACAGTAAGATATTAAAGGGTAGTGCCAAAGAGGAGGAATTATAGCCGATCTTATTTTCCTTACTTTCTTTTCAGTTTTCCAAATTTTCTGTAGTCTGACTATATTCCTCACATTATATTTTTTCCAATACAGTTTAGTGTTTCCTACCCCAGAGGGGTAGGGGTAATTCTGGGAACTACTATAGCCTGAGGATCATATATTTATAAAAAGATCCTTAGATGATTCTCTGTGGCCTGTCACTATTGGCCTTTGGGAAGCACTTGTCTAGACCATAGTAGTTTATGTTGGAATATTTAACTAGGTAATAACAGAACTCTATTATGTTTGTATTTTTAAAGGAAAATTCCTTTTTGGAATTCAATAGTTCCAGCATTGTTATGGATTGAATTGTTTCCTTCTAAAATTCATATTGAAGCTCTAACCCTCAATGTGATTGTATTTGGAGATAGGAACTTTAAGAAGGTCATTAGAGTTAAATGAGATCATAAGAGTAGAGCACTAATCCAGTAGGACTGGTATCCTTATAAGAAGAGGAAGAGACATCAAAGACTTCTGTTTCTCCACTAGAGCACAGAGGACAGGCCAGGTAAAGACACAGCAAAAAGTGGTGGTCTGCAACTCAAGGAGAATGGCCTCACCAGAGACCAACACTGCTGGACCTAGAACTTGGACATTTAGCCTCCAGAACTGTGAGAAAATACATTTCTGCTGTTTAAGCGACCCAATCTCTGATATTTTGTTATGGTAGCCCAAGAAGAATAACACAAACATTAATGAGTTTATTTCTTATCTTCGGTTTCCTGTTATATGTGGGGGGAGAGAAGTTAACACTAGGACCTTTCTAAAGTTGCAGAGCCTAAGTTCAGATCCTAGCTCTGATCCCTAAGCCTGAGAGTCAACTCCAGAGGAAACACTACTCAGACCAGATGGGGTTTCACAGATTCTCCCAATGCATTTTGGGATGTTTTATTTGTGGGAAAGCCTCTGATAAAAAATGTACTATGTAGAAGACATAGAAGAGTCAGGCCATTGAAATGCATGGGTGTGCAGAGAGGAAGTCTCTGAGTTCTGGAGAGAGGAGCACATATCAAAGACAGCAGGACTCCATGCTGAGGGACAGGGGCTGGGAACTAAAGCTCTGCTCACTACTTCACTCTGCTCACTCCCACCCATTGCTGATCTCAAAGTGGGACAGCCACTTCTTCAGAGTAATTCAACTTTGAGAAAGAAAAAATAAGACAGAGGGACACTTGGGTGGCTCAGTTGGTTGGGTGTCCGACTCTTGATTTTGGCTCGGGTCACGATCTCACGGTTTGTGAGTTCAAGCCCTGCATCGGGCTCTGCACTGGCAGCGTGGAGCTTGCTTGGGATTCTGTCTCCCTTTCCCTCTGCCCCTCCTCCACTTGCTCTGTATCTCTCTCTCTCAAAAATAAATAAAAATTAAAAAAAAAGAAAAAAGAAGATAGAAATGAAGACTTACATTTGTTCAGTTTTCTTGGGCAGCTTACTCTCATCACCTGTGAAAAGAGAACCATGAATTAAGTGTGACAAGATCACAAGACATGCAAACATTTCACAAGGAGACTACAATTTCATAATTTGAAGATGTCAAGAATTACATTTTTTTTTCTTTTGGGTTAAATACAGTACAAGCACACACAAGAGAGAAACCCAGCTTCGCCCGGTATCCTCCTAGTCCTTCACTCCTGACGCTGATTTTGTCACCACTAAACACCAGAGAAGACATGGGGAGTTTCAGGCTCTGGAATGTTTTTGCCTTTGTTTTTAATTTTTTTAATTAGGAGGTATAATTAAGTAGGCTCAGTTCTGACTCTTTTATTGTTTCCTTAATTAGCTGACCCTTAATTATCATGCTTCTTTCAGAATCTTCTGGCTTATATGGTAACACCCAGGTAAAAACCTGGTTTCTGCTATACCCTCTGTGGAACAGTGCTGAGATCCTCATTCATTCTAGAGGTTCTTCTCTATACCTCTTTGGATGTCTGCAACTTCTAGTTACCCTAGCAAGGAGAGCAGCTCTAGTGGGCCTAACCTTTCTGGATGGCCCTGCAGCATGGAACACTTGCTCCTGTGAATGTTCCCAGTCCACAGGTAGCCTTCTACCATGGTCCTTCCTCACAGAACAGCAGGCAGCTGGCTGAGTCATCCAAAGTCCCACTGTAGCCCACACCTCCTGCTATCCCCTACTAGGACTTACTCATCTTTGCCTTCCCTCTGACACTGAGCACATGGTCTCACATATGGTTAGACTATATACATCCTGAGCTGATAACTGTTCCTCCTGATATACATTCTTTGAGAAATGTGTTAGGCACATCAACTCTCCTTCTGGAATCAGAGAGGGAGTTGGAGGCTGACAAAGTGGGTATCCTAAGTTCCTGAGGAAAGCAGTAAAGTGTGAGTCCACTTTTATCTAGTTCATGGGAGAAAGTATTCATTAGGTAAGTTGATGAGATGATAACTTACAAGAACTTACCCAAGTAAGGAACGTGGGTAGCTCCAAAAAAGTATGTTCTTGAACAGGCAAGGGGCCCCTTCGGTGAGACGCACTGTACTACCTGGATGTCAGAAAAAAGTAAGAGTAAAAAAGGAGCAGGGACTTAGGTGTGTACTGTTAGAGAAATGAAAAGTGTATAGTTAATGGAAATCAATTTTATTTCACCAACAGCTGATTTATTATTTTTTAAAGGCACAGAGGAAAAGGTCACGTTTAGCTGTTGTTTTTCCAATGGTATTTTGTGTGTGTGTGTGTGTGTTTTTAACCTTGGCTACATTGTGAGGTTGCTGTCGGGTCAGCCCATGATGCTAATGAATTCACATCTTAGAAGGAAAAGAGGAAATATGCTTGGATTTTGACTTCCATTAATAGTCTAGAACTTTTACAGTGAGGACCTTGGCCAACATGACAGGCAGATGTGTGGGGGAGCTATAAATTCAAAGAGGTGCTCCCCAGGTCCCCATCTTCATTTGTATTTCATCTCTATACACAGGCCTTGGAGAAAAGAAAATAAGTTTCCTAGATTTAAAAATTCTTATTCTTCTTTGTTTAGTTCATTTATACAAAAGTAGATAAAGATGTCCTTTTCTCTTGTGAAAATCCAGCATCTCATCAGGGTTCCCAGGATATCAGGTATAAAACAACAACAACAAAATGCTACTATAGGAGCTAAAGGAAAAGAAATTAGCACAATATATTAAAAAAAAATTGCTAAATGTGACACAAATATTCCTTCTACTCCAATGTTTAAGGAAGTCACAAGAGAATGCATGGCATTTTTTCTGTAATATTGTGAACACCGTGAATCCAAAGATTTGTATTAAGGACTTGTTATGACTACTCTGTAATTCACCATCATGAACATGATCAATATTGCCATGATCCTAAATAAAAATGCATGTACATATTTCTAATTGTTGGTTAATGGACATATTTCCTCAATAAAACATGTTCCCTAGACTCCAAATTTCTCCTAACTCAAGTTTTTTTTTTTTAAAGATGCCATGTGCTCAGAGCCTGGAGCCTGTTTCTGATTCTGTGTCTCCCTCTCTCTCTGCCCCTCCCCCGTTCATGCTCTGTCTCTCTCTGTCCCCAAAATAAATAAACGTTGAAAAAAAAAAAAATTAAAGATGCCATGTGTTTCAAACCAGCTTCCTGAGATTATATCATAAATTTGTATAAGTAAATTTCACATCTAATTTACTGATACATTAAAAGAAATCAGTACAAGAGAATTTACATATATAATGTACAACTACTCAGATAATCTGGATTTGCATGTTTTACCTGTCACTGATTAATCTGTAAATTATTCATAAATGGCACAGAAGTGGAAAGGGTAAGTATGTTACACTGAAAAAGAGATGAAGATGAAAGGTCATAATCTCAGACCCCCCACCTCCATCCCAGGACCAAATCTCATATAAGTTCCTTGACCTCATTAAGTTTCTGAGTTTATAAAATAAAGATCCCCAATTATTATACAAAGTTCTACAAAGAACTTGGAAAATTAAAAAAAACTTAATAGATTGTTTTGAAGAGCAGTTGTAGGTGTACAGAAAGAATTAAACCCACAGGTGTGTGTGGCCCTCCCTACATTCTGCAGGAGTCTTCCTCTCTCACTCTAGTCCATATGCAGCCTCCAGGAGTTCATCAAAATTGTTATTTATATGTGGCTTCTGCTCCAGGTGAGCAGACATTGGCTGTGACTCTCTCGACTCACCCCTCTAGATCTTGGAGTGTATTTGCCTTGAGACTTCAGTTCTTTGATGAGCCCAAGAAAAGCTGTTGGTTTTAGGTTTTTTAGCTTTTTTCTTGTAAGGATGGGAGAGATGATTTCTAAGCTCTTTATGTGTTAGCACCGAAAGTGGAAGTCTGCCCTGGATCTTACTGAAATCTTGCACTTTAGTAGCCCTTCTTTGACACTGCTTCTGTGGGTGAATAGGGGAGCACATTGCTTTGTTACCGCCTGGTAGGAGCGTTAAGTCCAGGTTCTCCACACAGACTCTACTGACACCCAGTGTGTGTGTGTGTGTGTGTGTGTGTATGCATGCATGCTCCTTGATACTGCTGGGCAGAATAGGAGTTTAGGTTCCCCAGTATGCCTCTAGTGACACCACCCTGGCTTGGGAGAGTCACAGACACTATGGGTAAGTGATGGCCTTGTTATAGCTGAGTGGTGGTGGAAGTCCTGACTCTCCACTGGCCTCCAATGATACCACCCCAAGGAAGAACACCTCGTCACTGCTGGATAGTGGTGTACATCCAAGACTCCCCTGTCTCCACTGATACTGCAGGGGGAGGGAGGGTACACTGGTGCCCAGTGGGGATGAAAGTCATGGCCCCCTACTGGGCCTTCTCTAATACTGACAGGGGTGGGGGTAAGGTAATGGTGCCCTGTTACAGCCTGGCAAGGGTGGATATCTAGGCTCTTCACTCAGCTCTTGTTGGCAGGGGTAGATGGAAATATTTTCTGAGGGGTTTGGCAGGAATAGAATAGCTGTTATCTAAAATTTTTTTTTAATTTTTTGAATGTTTATTATTTTTTGAGAGAGAAAGAGAGAGAGCGTGCGTGCGAGCATGAGCAGGGGAGGGGCAGAGAGAGGGAGACACAGAATCTGAAGCAGGCTCCAGGCTCCAAGCTGTCAGCACAGAGCTTGACACGGGGCTCAAATCCACAAACCACGAGATCATGACCTGAGCAGAAGTAAGACGCTTAACTGACTGAGCCACCCAGGCACCCTGAAAGTTTTCTGCCTTGTTAGGCTGTCCCCTTCCTAGTCCTTCCACCAGAGAAAAGAGGCTTTACTTAGGCCTTTCTAGGTCTGCGCCTATTGGCATTTCTGGGTTGTCAGCTTTCCAATATCCAGTCTGGGATATATAGGCAAAAAGGAAGCCCAGAAAACTCACTGCCATTTTGTCCCTTTGGTCCTAAGGTCCTCAGCCAGCCTACTTCTTCTACCTTCCTATGTTTCTTTTATATATAGTGTCCAGGGTTTTTAGTTGTACTTAGCAGAAGGAATAGGAAGAAGTAGGTCTACTCCATCTTCCCAGAGGCAGAAATCAGCTAGTCTCCTTAAGTTTTAATTTAACATGTAGAGTCAACAAATAAGATTACACAAAGAAGCCTATGCCATTTGGCATTTTCTGTATATTCCAAGGGTACTCTGGGTGGGGGGAGGTTGAAATGAGGCCTGAGCCCTCCCATTACAGGGCAGTAAGATCCTGACAGCATATCTATTCGAGCAGCCCTATGTTCCTGACTGGCTTGGAGGCAGATTTGAGGTTTCAGTCCAGAGAGACTAGGTCTCATGTTCTCCAGTCAAAACTAAACAATAGTACCTACCTCCCCAGCTTTCCTGATTGTCAGGAACATTCTGAAAATAATCAAAATTCCATGGACTTTTACAATCACTAGAGTCTCACATTTCAGTCTAATGTTTCCTTTAAAAGAACATAGTAGACAATTTACCACCAAATGCAAAAGTCTTCTCCCTGGCACCCTCAATACAAGAACAGTGACCCTCAAGGTTTATGTCCTGAAATGTAACAGTTAAGACAAAACAAACTTAGGCTTGGATGACTCTATTTCCAAGTTAATTTAAAATTCTTATTCTACTGACAATACTACTATGACAACTTAAAGAGTTTGGTTTGTGGAAGTATTTTTTTAACCTTTTTCCTTCAAATATTTAAAAATTAACTATGATGTTTTCAAATTATACCTAGTACTTCTATAAATACAGTCAGTTTGCAGTCACTTCACTCCAAAACAACTTCAAGTTCAAGGTTAAATCAATACACTAACCAGAAAGGTTACCCTTAACTTCCCCTCTTTCCTATTTAATAATAAAACCAATTAAACACCAGGTAGTCAAGCCACTCACCATGTGTTTGGCAAAGCTCCCACTGGGACCAGTGCTGCGTACCAGGTGCCCTTCAGAAGGGAAGTTAAAGTTGCCAGCGTTCAGGTTTTCTCGTGTGGAGTGATTACCAAAGAGAACGAATGGCTGCCTATTAGGGCTAGAGTGGCAAACCAGAAATGTGATTAGAAAAGAGATTCCTGGCCAGGACAATTTCCCAGTGAGTGGGTTCTTGGGGTTTTCAGAGTGGTGTCCTGCGGTCTGAGCAAAGTGGTCAATACAGCCCCCCTAACACTCCCTACTGGGTGGGAATGGATGCCAGATGTCTCTGACTCCTCCTACTGACCCATAGAGATCATTTAGGGACATAACTAAATCCAAGCCAGGTTTATATTTTCAGCTTGTCCTACTTCTTAAGGAGAAAGTTCTGTAAGTCTGCCGTCCATGGTGCAGAGATGGAGCAAGAATCCAGTTTCACACAATAGCATTTTAGTGGAAACAGAAATTTTAAAGGATGATAGCAGTTGTGATAGACTGTAGGCAGACAACAGAGGCATTAACTATTTGGAGTAGCTTTTAGGATGGGAAGAGGAGAGTAGGGCTACGAATGTCCTCACTACCACATCCATCTGACTTGCATGTGTCCCCTTCTTCCGTCTCCTCTCTTGGTTAGACTTGTCTTTTTGTGTTTTTTTTGTTGGTTGTTGTTGCTGTTACTTTCTTTTTTCTCAGCCCACTTCAACTGACCCCCTCAGTCATTTCACTCAAATTACTCTTGCAAAAGTCACCAAATGACTTTCACGTAGCAAATAGCCAATCCACTAGGCAGCCTTCAGCCTGCCCCTCCTTGGTCTCTCAGAAGCACCGGACACCCTTTCCCTGCAAAAGCTGTTGCTTCTCAGTCTCCTTCATCAGCCATTCTCCTCTTCTATCTGCCTCAGAATATTCCTAGGGTTTTACTTTCAGCTATCTGCCTCTCCTCTCCTCTTTCATGATCTACCCCACTATACTTGTTCCCCTGGAATCAGTATCCACCCAAGGACTGAGCCAGACCTGAGAGGCCCCCTTAGGCCTCCTTAACTTCTTCTGCCCCTAACCCTCTAAATCCAATCAATCAACTCACTAGTTGTCCATTTCCCTCAATCCACACGGTTACAAGCCTCGTCCATGCTGCCATCATTTCCTCCCTAGACAACTAGAATGCTTCCGCACAGCTACCCTGCTTCCACTCTCGCTCTCCTACAGTCTCTTCTCCACAATGCAGAGAGCACAACCTTTTATACATGCAAAGACTGTAATGCCTTTATGTTATTTTCAGGAGGACTGAAATCTTTCACATGGTGAAGGATGATCTACATTCAGCTTCTTTGGCTCCACGAAAGGCCACTCTCCTCCAACTTCTATGTCCCACCAAACTCATCCTCTTTTATGTTTCTTATGTTCTCATCTCAGGGTGCTTTTCTCCCTTTTTTTTTTTTTTTTTAAAGATTTTACTTTAAAGTAATCTCTACACCTCATGTGGGGCTTGAATCCACAACCCCAAGATGAAGAGTCACACGCTCCACTGACAGCCAACCCAGGAGCCCCTCCCTTAATTATCTTTGCTCATCATTCAGATTTCCTCCCAGAGGAGTCCATGCTCCCAGCTATGGTCTTCACAGTACCAAGTTCTTTTTTCCTTCATGGCACCAGAGTTTGTAATTTTATTTTTTTGTGAGGTTGCTTGATTAAGGTCTTATTTCTCCACCACACTATATACTCACTCCATGAGGGCAAAGACCATGACTAGTTTATTTTTGAATTTTAATTTTTTAAAAATGTAATCTCTATGCCCAACTTGGGGCTCAAAATCATGACCATGCTCTACCAACTGAGCCAGCTGGGCATCCCCATGGCTGGTTTACTTTTTAACCATGTTTCTCTTGTTTAATATGTCATACGTTCTCAACAACAGTCAGTGACTAAAGGGTATTTTTATTTTCTTTTATTATTTTTTTTAATGTTTATTTATTTTTGAGGTGGGGGAGGGGCAGAGAGAGAGAGGGAGACACAGAATCCGAAGCAGGCTCCAGGCTCTGAGCTGTCAGCACAGAGCCTGACCTGGGGCTCGAACTCACGAACCATGAGATCATTACCTAAGCCGAACTGTGGGACACTTAACTGACTGAGCCACCCAGGCGCCCCAAGGGCATTTTTAAAAAATAGTTTCTGCTATGTATTGAATGTATCCCCACAAAATTCATAGGTTAAAATCCTAACCCCCAAAGCGATGGTATTAGGAGGTATAGCCTTTGGGAGGTGATTAAGCCATAAGGGCAGATCCCACATGAATGGTATTATAAAAAAGGCTCTTATAAAAGAGGTCTGAGAGATCCCTTGCCCTTTCTGCCATGTGCATTTACAGTGAAATGAGGAAGCAGGCCTTCATCAGACACTGGATCTCACAGTGCCATGATCTTGGACTTCCTAGCCTCCAAACTGTGGGAAATAAATGTTTTTTTGTTTATAAACCACCCAGTTTATGGAATTTTTGTCATGGTAGCTAAAACAGATTAAGACAGTTTCCTTTATCCCTGATCCTTTCCTTAAATTGCCCTTAGTGTGTGTCACGTGGAAAAGTGTTTACATTTCTTTGTATTATTCTTAAAAATACCTCCTTAAGCTTCAGGCAAACAGGGGCTCTTAAAAGTAAACATAACTGATTTTTCTTCTGAAGCTTAATTCAAGTTAAGTGACTCCTCAACCAGTGTAATCTGTCTCATTTCACATTGGATTGGAATTAGGAAATAAAAGAGAGGAAAATTCTACTTTGATCTACTTTGATCCCATCCCAGGCTGGGCCCTCCGGATTACCATGACAAAGAGAGGTGCTAAAGGAAAAACCACAAGAAAACAAAATGCAGCAACCCTGATACTCTCTTGTCTTCCTGGGGCTGGACCTTTATTGCCAGAGCCCTTTTACTCTCCACAAATGAGGATCCCTGCCCAGCCCATGGACATCCTACTTCCTAGCTTTCCTGGGGTAGGGATGGAATATAAAATTCCTTTCTTAAGATTTCAGCAAGCTACAATGTTTTAAAAACTAGTTTGCTATAAATCTATATTAATATATATATATATATATATACATACACACACACACACATACATACATATACACACATATACACAAAAGCAGTGAAATGGACGATTTTTCAGAGTATGCATTTCTTAACCTATGATGACAAAAGTCAGTCTATATTTTCCTGACTACCTTCTGGACTTAGATGCTCCCTCACATCCACTTGCCTTGTTAAACCCCATTTCTCTAACATCATTCACCTTTCTTCCCCAAGAAACCTACCTGTTTTCAGTTATATGGCTGGAGATCATTCCATGACTGAAGTAACTTCTGAATGGCTAAAAAAGAAGCCAACACTGTATTATATCACAATTTTATAAAACAATCACAAATCTCTCATATATATATGTGCGTAGGTATAGAGTGTGTATGTGTGTATTGGAAAGAGAGAATGAGAGAGAGAGAGAGAGAGAGAGAGATGTGTTTATAGATTATTGTAAGAACATGGAAGGACATATGTGGTAGAACGCAACATGAATTTGGGGGACAAGTAACTAACAAACAGCAACAGAAATAGACAAATGGCTGCAAGAGAAAAAGAAAGGTAAAGAAAAATTCTTGTCAAATTTTATGATTTAATTATTGAAACAAAATTGGACCAACCATTATCTATGGTCCAAGATACTAATAATGTAGGAATTTTCCCTTCTATTAAAAATTTGTTTTTCTACATTTCTTCTTTTTAATGTTTATTTTTGAGAAAGAGAAAGTGAGCAAGCACACGCTGGGGCAGAGAGAGGAGGACAGAGGATCCAAAGCAGACTCTGTGCCGACAGCAGAGAGCCCAACATGGGCTTGAACCCACGAACCATGAGATCATCACCTGAGCTGGTCAGACACTGAACCCACTAGCCACCCAGGCACCCCTGTTTTTCTACATTACTAATAAGGGAATATACATTAATTCTAACATACTAATTTAAAATCAGCATTAAGAGAGAATCCACAGAACTTAGAAATACACAGAAAGAAGTTTCCCAGGAAAGCACAGAAGTATTTCTCAGCATTGGTATGTAAAGTGCTAGGCTAAACACTAACCAAAAATTGATACTATGTCAAAAGGGTCAAAATTTCAAAATGCAATTTTAATCCTCTTAAAAAACATCTATTGTTTACCTCTTGCTCTGATTATGTAAGTAATATATGCTTATTTTAAAATATAACAATCTAAGAACTGTTAACTTTCTGGTAAATTTTCTTCCTATCTTTTTTCTATGGTACATCCATAGCATATGGCTGTACCAAAGTTTATTAAATAGCCCTCTATTCTTAGAAACCTATGTTTCTTATATCATAATACTACAATAAGCAACTTTTCATAAGTTTTATTTGCAGCTTTGATTATTTTCTTAAAGCAGATATGGAAATGAAATTATACGGTAAAAAGGCAAAACTATATTGCCAAATTGTTTTTCAAAAAAGTTTTATCAATATACACTTCCACTTACCATACATGAGTGTGCCTATCTCAGGGTAAACTCATAAGCACTGTCGATTAAATGTCCATTTAAAAATATATTTTCCAACTCGATAAATGAAAAATGGTACCTCACTGCAGCTGTATTATACATTCCTTTGATTTCTAATGAAATAGAGTATATATTCAAATATGTTCAATGGCTATCTGGATTTCCCTTTGGTAATTAACTGTTTACATCCTCTGGATGTTCATCAATTGGAGTTTTGGTGTTTACAGATCTTACTGATCTGTAAAAACTCTCTCTATATTAAAATAATAGCTATATTTTACTGAGGTTTACCTCTACTGTGATAGACACTTAAATGTATTATCTCAAGTAATCCTAATAACCTATGAGGATCATTCGATCACTATTTCCTCTAGTTCCGTTAATAATACTGTACTAATACTAAAACGGGAAAAAAACATATGAAAATAAAATATAAAGTGGCCTTCAAACATGAAAAAAAGTTCAAGCTTACTCATTATTAGAAAAATACAAATTAAAATAATACTGACATACCATTTCTTATCTACGAGATGGTGAGAAATTAAAAAGTGTGACAATACATCCTGTTGGTGAGGCTGTGGTGTAACAGGCACTCTCATATACAGCTGGTGGGAATGCAAATTGGTCAACCCTTCTGAAGAGAAATTTGGCAATAGCTAACACAACTAGATGTGCACTTACCTTGTGACCCAGCAATCGCATTACTAGGTATACAAACCTCCAACAATATGAAAATACATAAGCACAAAGTTATTTACTATGGCACTGTTTGCAATGGCAGAATATTGAAAACAACCTAAATAAGCACACATAAGAGAACGGCTGAATAAATTACAAATCCACACAGTAGTATACTATGAATCATAACAAAGAATGAGAAGATCTCAATGAACTGACTTGGAGAAAGTTGCAGGATATTTTCTTGTTAAGTGAAAAAGTGAAAATGACTACATGTATGTTGCCCTTCAATGAAAAAACAAGAGGACATAAGAAAATACACATGTATCTGCTCATATGTGCAAAAGAAAAAAAAAAGACAAATCAGAAATGAAGAGATTTGTTATCTACTGGTAGTAGAGTAGGTGGAAAATGGTGGAGTGAGGGAGTGAATGAGAAGGAGGTGATAGGAAACAAGGAGTGACATGTCACAGAATATACCTTTTTGAGTATCTTTTACTCTAGGAACCACAGTAATGAGAGAAAAAATAATCCAGAAAACTAAAAAGGGCACTGGTGAAATGTGGGACTACTTCATGTGGCCTAATATAGAGGTAACTAGAGTCTCTGAAAAAAAAGATGGACAGAAAAAATATCTGAACAAATAATGGCCAAAAACTTCCCAAACTAGATGAAAACTATGAATCCACAGATCCAAGAAGCTCAACAAGAGCCAAGCGCAAGAAACATAAAGAAAATTATAGTGAGACACATCAGAATCAACTCAAAACCAGTAAAAAAAAAGAGAAAATCTTAAAAGCTGCTAGAGGGGGAAAAAAACAGTTATACAGAGAGGAACAAAGATAAAGACGAAAGAACAGAGCATCAGAAACAATGCAAGTGAGAAGACAGTGGAACAGTATCTTCCAGGTACAAAAAGGAAAAAACAGTCAACCAAGAATTCTATACGTGGCAAAATGTCTCCCAAAAATGAAGGTGAAATACAGATATTTTTTCAGACCTATACAAGTTGGAAGAATTCATCATCAGAAGGTTTTCACTATGAAACATATTAATGGACACTTCAGGGAGAAGGAAATCATACCAAATGGAAATCTGGATCGTCACAAAGGAATGAAGAGCATCAAAAACAGTAACTACATGGGCAAATATGTAAGATTTTTTTTTATTACTTAAATCTTTTTAGAAAGGATTAAAACGAGATTAAAAAGAGAACTGACTGCTTAAACAAAAATAATAGCAATGTGTTGGTGGCGTTTATAACATATGTAAAAGTGAGATGCATGACAACAAAGGTCAACACCAGCTCCAAAGATCAGGAGTCAGTGTAGCACAGGGGAGCTGAGGACTGGCATGCAAAACCAAAGTAGGCTCAAGTGCAAGCTCAAGATTTGTCTTCTGATCCTTCTTACTGACTAGTTTTGGGCACTGGCCTATGCCTCGGTTCTTGATTTAGATACCACTGTTTACTCCTGGAGTGAATCTTACCCTGAAACTAGTAACTTCACCATTGTTTGCGTGGAAAAAAAAATTTACCTAGAGACTTAACTGACAAAGGTGTGCTACTCACATGTGGAAAATTATGTCTAGGCTTATCAACTACTGCCCAATAGAATTCCTTGCTGACAGAGGTATCATGACACTGAAAAATGACTATCCATCTTATATAGGAGCTGGTACCAAACACCCAACTTCCTTATAGATGTTGGTAGGTTGGCATGGGGGTTAAAGACTTCTATACAGCATACAACAAAGCATAAGGAAAGAATAAACATATTAGGATCGGTAGTGTTGTATTCTGAAAAAATTAACAAAACAAAAATAGAAACAATAAGTTAATCAGGTTTTTCTTTCTCTTTGACCCTTCCCTTACATACCTCACCCGCTTGAGATTCAGAAAGTTCCAGCAGGAAAGGAATTTCTGTATCAAAATTAGCAAAGAAGCTAGTCCACTGATGTTCAAAAGCCACCAAATCCTATGAAGAAAATGAAAAGGATAATGCATTTGGTTATATTAAGAAGTACTTTAGAAACATGAATCAGATCTCAAGTACTTTAGAATCATGAATCAGATCTCAAAATACCAGACTGTTTAAATGTTTCAAAAGTTAACAGCAGGGGAGCCTGTTGTGGCTCAGCTGGTTAAGCATGAGACTTCAACCCAAGTCATGATCTCATGGTTTGTGAGTTCAAGTCCCACATCAGGGTTGAGCTGTCAGCACAGAGCCTGCTTCAGATCCTCTGTCTCCATTCTCTCTGCACCTCCCCCACTCGCCCTCTCTCTCAATAAATATTTAAAAAAGTTAACAGCAAACTACAGATACATGTTACAACATAGATGAACCTCAAAAACATTATGTCAAGTGAAAGAGGCCAGATATAAATGACCACCTGGTGTATTCTCCATTTATATGAAATATATAGAAAAGGCCAATCTATAGAGACAGAAAGTAGATCAGTGATTTGAATGAGGAACAGAGACTGACTGCAAGTGAACACAAGGGAATTTTCTGCGTTGATGAAAATATTCTAAAATTCGATTATGGTGATGGTTGTACAACTCTGTAAATTTCACTAAAAACTACTGAATTGTACATTTAAATAGGCAAATTTTATGGTATATAAATTATAGCATAATAAAATTGTTTAAAAAAAAGGGGGGCAGTAATGGCCACTCCAATGCCTTAGCAATGCCTTTAGCAATCTTTGTTGGAAAGAGGGACCTATTTATGATGTATCTTAAAGATGGTACATCCTGTGCCAAAAGGGTCACATCAGTGGAGCTTTAAGGACAAGTTAGATGACCTTAGTTAGAAGTTGGGTGGTGCCATGGGAAGCCCAGAGCCCTCTCCTCCCTTACACCCTCCCCCAGTGGCAGTGGGAGGATTGTGAAACTGTGTGCCCTTCCCAGTTGACTCTCCTCTTTGTGCAACCTCTTTCCTTCCCCACCCCGGCTACTTTTCAGCCTCCTCTCTGAACTCATTCTGGTTCCCAGTCACCACACATTGCTTTGTGCTACTGGCTTTCCTTTAAAACATCATCAGTTAACCAAAAAAAAAAAAAAAAAAAAAAAAAAAAAAAAAAAAAAAAAAAAAAAAAAAAAAAAAATCATCTATGAGTTGCTTAAGACACTCAAATAGTATCCTTGTCTTATTCTGAAGTTGCTGATAATTTGTACTGAGATAAGTTATCTTCACTGCCCATCTCACAGTTTAAGTGTCTGTATGTTGGGCGCTGGCCTAGTGCCTTGCTCACAGCAGGCATTCTGTTTGCTGCATTAAAACTTACTAGCTGGATTTATGCTCTCCTCCATTCTTCTCTCCCAGAAGGGGATAAGCAAGTACTCAGACCTATGGGCTCCGTGTTAGCCAGGTATTGAGTCTACTGGCCCTAGGCATAGAGCACAATGGACCCCTGCTGGGAATTCTTAGTGTAAACAACATTCTTACTAATGGCTCCGCTGCTTGTTGCCCAGATGATCTATATTTTATTTATAAATAAATACAGAAGTATATGTGTATATGTATCTAAAATTATTTTAAGTAATCACATGGGTGACAGTGCTGATACTGCTTTCTGAATATGTTTTATATATAATTTGGGATAAAAAAAATCAGGTATACATGTGAGAATATTTGTATATACATATGGAGAGAAAGACACACACAGAGAATTTCCTACCTTTATCCACTGAAGAGATATAGAAACAATGACCAAACCAGTACCAATGAGCATTCGCAGCACCTACACTGTTGTGCTAAAATACCACTCCCCAAACAAACTAGAACTTATTAGAGAAATGACGATTCCAGACCTGGGACAGGAAATGTATAAGAGAACCCAGGAATCTCTTATCGTAGTATATGGCAAGGAAGTTATCAAGGACTATTAGGGTTGTGTCAAAACAATTTGTAACCAACTTTAAGTGAGCTACTACCCAAAGATGAAACAAGCTGAACATCAGCAAAGATGGTAACTGCACTGGATAAAAACACATCAAATAGGTTTAAATCTATGAGTTCAAAATGAGATATACTAAAAAGAACTAATTGGTTACTTTTGGGAATGGTTGGGAACCAACTTTATTTTGAAAATTGATAAATAAAAGCAAGAATTCAAACAACTATCCTGTTCTTCCCACATGAACTCCACCACTGCATAACCAAATAGCAAGCTGAATTATTTCTCTTTAGAGAATATAAATGAAGAAGGAATTATAGAATTGGAATACTACCATTTTACAATGGTGAATTAAGGATCTAATTAATCAATGAAAGACCTAAGGACCGTACATCAGTGACTGTTCACAAAATTAAAAGAGATTCAATTACACATATATACTTCTTGTAAAGAATACCCTCTCAGAAGTAGTTTTCCCTCCAAAAATCATTCCTGACACTGATTAAACCTCTAGATTCAATTACCAATAATATGGAAATACAGAAGACAGGGAAAATGTTAAACTACATGATAGGAATGTGATCAACAAATCCCAATGAGGATAACTATAAAACAAATGATCTGATTTCCTTAATAAATAGTTAAGTGGGGGTAGGGACAAAAAGAACCTATAGATTAAAAGAAACCTAAACACACACACAGGCAAAGTTAAACTATGTATATAGTATACATAGTATACAAAGTATAACTAGCATTACACATGAAGCACATTTGGAAGCACATTTTGATGATAAAATTGCAAAGAAAAGTAGGGGTCATTGCCATAGAATTCATGATAGTGTTATTCTTCGGGGAGTAGGAAAGAGGTGATGGGTTTGACAAAAAGCACTCAGACTGCTTCTGGGGTGGCAAGACTCTGTTGCTTTGCTTTATAATGACTTATTAAATTACATATTAGTTTTATGTTCTTTTCTGAGTCTGTGTTAATAAAAAGTCTTTAAAAACAGACAAACAAGTAATACACATTTATTACAGAAACTCAGAAAATCTAGAACAAAAATCACTGTTAACATTTTGGAAAATATGGGGCACCTGGGTGGCTCAGTCAGTTAAGCGTCCGACTTCGGCTCAGGTCATGATCTCACAGCTCATGAGTTCGAGCCCTCTGTGCTGACAGCTCAGAGCCTGGAGCCTGCTTCAAAATCTGTCTCCTTCTCTCTTTGCCCCTCCCCCACTCGCATATTCTCTCTCTCTCTCTCTCTCTCTCCAAAAAGGAATAAACGTTAAAAAAAATTAAAAGGAAAAACATTTTGGAAAATGTTCTCATTCTATTTTTACAGACGTATCATATATATATATATATACACACACACACACACACACAAAATATTTGCATATATTTTTAAGTTTGTTTATTTTGAGAGAGAGCAAGCTCGACCACAAGTGGGGGAAGGGCCGAAAGAAGGAGAGACAGAATCCCAAGCAGGCCCTGCGCCATCAGCTCAGAGCCCAATGAGGGGCTCCAACTTAGGAACTGAGAGATCATGACCTGAGCCGAGATCAAGAGTCTGATGCTTAACCGACTATGCCACCCAGGCAACCCCAAATATGTGCCTATTTGTAACTAGAAATCTACAATTATCTGGGTCAGACTGTCCTACCCTACCACCTCTGTGCCTTGGCCCAGTAAACCAGACCTCCTGAGTTTGGGATCCTGACCTGCTGCTATCAGGTCCAATCAGTGCCCCTGATCCAGGGTCCAAGATAGTCTATGTGTTTTAGAGAATACACGAAAAAAGATGGTGCACTCTGTTCCAAAAAATTTCCCCGAGGGAGCCAGGTGTGTTAGTACTAATTACAGAATAAGATAGAATGAATCATTAAATACTGCTTTCAGCTCCATGCTAGGAGTGAAATGAAAGATGCAATGAATTCTCATATTAAAAATAACTAGCATTATACATGAAATGCCCACATAAATGCGTGCGCGCACGCACACACACACACACACACACACACACACACAGTCTTAAAACACCCTAACATCCTTATATTTCTCTATGCTCACTATAAAGATGAGGAGACTGAGACACTTCAGAGTAAAGTGATCTACCTAAGGATGGAATACTAAAGAGGAGCAGAAGTGGAAATATATCTAGGCAGGAGATACCCAGAGCCTGTTTTTTCCACCACAGTATTCTCCAACTTTTCCAATGGATACTGTGTATGTAGGTAGAAATGGTCAGTTGCATTTGATGTGGAAGAAGGGAAAGTTTATCTGCTCAGACTCTTTGAAGTCAAATCCAGAAGACAGGCCCAGATAGATATCAAGGTCAGATACGCAGCAAAGGTCAGAAAATGCTGAGACTGTGTCAGTGCGCCTTCGTTCTTGGCTGGTGGCAAAAGATGCTGAACTTTAGTCAGAACTCTTGGCCCTACGCTGGCATCCTGCTCTCTGGTGGCTCAAAGTCCATATCCATGGCACCACCGGTAAGCTGAGCCACATTTGAACAACTTCTCTCAATGTTGAAAAGGAGATGATTCTGGGGCTCAGACAGGTTCCTTCCCTGTGGCTAGAATGCTCATACCGCCTCCTCCTTGGTCTGGAAAATCTCTGATCACCACACATGCTCTGGGAAGCAATTCCAGGAAGAATGATTTTCCTTACCCTTTATGTTCCACTGCAATTATAGCAGTTACCAAAGTATGCTGCTATTATTGGCCTAAGAGCCCATTAAATAGTATGAGCGGGAGCCAGGTCTACCTGTTTCTGTGACTTTAGCATAAGCACAGTATCCAAGAAATAGCAGGGATCAAGGACTATGTATTTAATAAATCAACAAGCAAAAAAAAAAAAAAAAAAAAAAAAAAAAAAAAAACCTCAAAGGCACTATACTGACCAAGAGGGAAAAAAAGCTCAATTTAAATATTTAAAAGTATTTTTATGAATTAGACAATGCAATAAAAATGGGAAAATGAAAACAAGTGACCAATAAGACTATCACCTAAAGTTTCTAAGACACAGACATACAAACTTTACAAAGATGGAATACCTTTTACTTTTTTGCTAAATATA